AACTGATTGAGCCACCAAGATGCACCTTTGTTCATGCTTATTAACTAGGGTTTAAGAAAAGAACCAATGCATATTGTTTAAAAGTTCCCAAAATAGGGGCACCTGGGTGACTCAGTCGGTTAAGTGTCCAGCTTTGGCTCAGGTCATGATCACAGTTTGTGGGTTTGAGCCCCGCGTCGGGCTCTGCACCGACAGCTCGGAGCCTGGAGCCTGCTTCAGATTCTGTGTCTCCCTCTCTCTCTGCCCCTCCACTGCTCGTGCTCTGTCTCTCAAAAATAAACTTAAAAAAAAAAAAAGTTCCCAAAATAGTCCCATACATTTTCTGCCAAGGTCAGTCCACCACAAGCTGTTTAGTAATGGTCTTATTTATCTATTGCTAAATGACAAATTACCCCCAAAACCTGGCAGCTTAAAGCAACGCATATTTGTTATCAAACAGTTTCTGTGGATCAAGAATCTAGGCTCAGCTTCACAGGGTCCCCTGCTTCAGAGTGACTGGAAATGCTACAGTCAAGGTGTTTTCCAGGGCTCTGGTCATCTCAGGGTTCAAACAGGAGGATCTGTTCCAGGGCTCACTCACTGACTGTTGGCAGGATTTGGTTCTCCAGGCCTATTGGCCATAAGCCACCCTCAGTCCTTGCCATCCAGTCCTTGCCTCAGTCCTTGCCTCTCCAACATACCAGTTCACTAAGCAGACCCACAAGTCGAAGGTGCCAGCAAGATGAAGTCAAGGTCCTCTAGAACCTAATCTCACGAGTGACCATCTGTCACTTTTGCCACATTCTGTGTGATAGAAACAAGTCACTAGTTTCAGCCCACACTTATGGGAATTACACAAGAAAGCTGATGCCAGGAGGGGGGATCATTGGGGGCCATTTTCGCTTCTGGCTGCCGCAGGAACTGTGCCCTAAACAGGTGTCTGTCTCCCCTTCATCCAGAAAGCCTTCAGTGAGGGCCATGGTTCAAGCTCATCATTGCTGAGGACTACTGCAGGTAGAGGAAGTCGAGGACTGAGTGTACATACCCAGAATCTCTTCCGGGGGTTGTATCAATTCATACAATGCCCCTCTTACCTTCTTTAGTTATGGTTTGGCTCTTTTGTGGTACTTTCATTCCCCACTATGAAAAGGAGAGGAGGCCATGGGATAGATAAAGCCGCCTATTGAAGAAGATACTCTGATGACTCCTCGAGCTGTGTCTGCAGGATTTAAACCAGCCTTGCAGAGAAGGAAAGGTCAGATAGGTTCGCCAGTACCCTCTCCCCTGAGTAGGAGAAGCAGGCCCTGCACTAAAATAACTCAAGGAGCCAACGTCCTCACCTATTGTTGGTCTCTCTATATATCTGTACCTGACCTTGAGTTCCCTGGTGGCAGGAAAGCTGTCTCTTTCTTGCCTTCTCCCCACCACTGGGCTGGGCACATCAAGCTCTCAGTGAATGTTTTCCTAAATGGATGATTGGAAAAACTCCTCCTTGTCCAAGGTAAAGTAACTTATATTTTACTACTCCCATAAAGTCACAGAGTGTAGGTGGCTCTCAGTCCCTCTTGAACACCCAAGGAAACGGAGAAACAAGAATGAGGCCTTTGCCCCAGGAGGACAAACGTTTTTTTGCTGATGGCGATAAAGCCAAAACAAGAGTAATTTGTGATTTGAAGGCAGAAATAACAAGAGTTCCGGGGCACCTGGGTGGCTCAGTCAGTTAAGTGTCTGACTCTTGATTTCTGCTCAGGTCATGATCTCATGTTTCATGAGTTCACGCTCCACATTGGGCTCTGCTCTTGCAGCACAGAGCCTGTTTGGGATTCTTTCTCTCCCTCTCTCTTTGCCCCTCCCTTGCTTGCTTACGCATGCTCTCTCTCTCAAAATAAACATTTTTAAAAATTAAAAAAAAAAGAGATAACAGTTCCACACCTCCACCAACTGAGGACAAAGCTGATGATGCCCTGATGGGACAGTGACCTGCCCTGGGATGCCTCGACCTGCAGTTGCACAGCAGAGTGAGTACGGCCAAATTTTGCCTGGCAGTCAGGTCTTTCAGTGAATGCTGAGTCACAGTCCTTAGTCAACTCTGATCTTTGAGTCCAAGTGCCAAATTTCAGTATCCTGGAAAGGCTCACTCCGAAGGCCACCAGTAGTCATCGGTGAAAGTAAAAGTGGGTCAAATGACATCAGCCTATGAAAAAAGAAAGGACCTACACTCTTCACATTTTAAGGGCTCACAAGATTGAGACCACCAACCAAGCTTGGAGTCACTACCCTGGAGCAGTCTCACCACACGGCCAGGTGAGGAGGTGTCAGAAGCCCCCTGTCCTCGGATCACATCTGACTAGTGGGCTCAGATACAAACAATAAGGATTCCTAAGTATCTTAGGGGTGTGGTGTGCAAATTAAGTGGAAAGGAATTTATACATCCATATATATATATATATATATATATATACACTAGAAAGAAGAGAGTCAGGGGCTCCAGGCACTGCCAAGTGTATGGATTAGAGTTGGAGGGTTGATGAAATTGAGTGAATGGGCAGAAATGGGAGGTTTTGAGTAACTCTAGGAGCAGCATAGGTGGCCAAGTCAGGTGCCATATTGAATCTGATCCTTTCTCTCTTGCCAGTTTGTTTCCTTATGTGCTGTGTAAATCCTCTGTGTGAGCTCATCTTCAGCAGGAGTCATTTTCTCTGCACACCCCAGGTGTCCAGGTTGTGGAGGCATGCCTCGGGAAAGGTTCAAGTTTGCCTCTGTTGGGTCCCATTGACTTTAAACCATTTGGTACATTGATTTCTCCTCTGATTGTGGTTTCCACTCTGTGGAAGCGATGGGAATTTGGAACCTGCATCTACACTTAGCACAAGCTTGGTTTTCCATCTTTTGCAAATTATCATTTCTCTGCGCAAATTATTGGCCTGCTGCCATGCCATCACCATTCACCCATCTGGTGAGTGGGGATTGTTTAGCCCTTTTAAGGAACCAACTATATGTACGGTCTTGTTTCTGATCCCAGCCACCCGGGGTGTCCACAGTCTTCACATCGGCCTCTTGGGTGTTCGAACTCTAGCCATCTGGATTCAATTCCCCTATCAGCTCACACTCATCACTCCAGCTTTGAGTTCACACTCATTTTTAGAATCTAGGATTCCCCCTTCCATTCAAGTGCAGCTATGGTTTCAAATTGTTTTATTTTATTTCATACAATATTTACATGTGTGTTGGAGAGGGGGCTTCCCAAATCACCTCAGACCAAAATTCCTTAGTATTATGATTAGCTGTCACCGCTGTCTTTCCCACTGGCTGTGGGACCATATCTTAGTGTAGACACTCAATAAATTTCTGTGAATGAGTGAGAGAATAAGCTTGTGATTCTTTAGTACCACTTTCTAATTACCTCCTGGCTATAGCTATCAGACATTAGAGTTTTAAAAAGACAGCAAAGACAGAAACGGAGGACCAAGAAGACAAATTTATAACAATGAAATCTTGTTATAATACCCATAGATTTAGGGATCATGCATATTTTACTTCATAATGACAGAGTTTAATACTGAAAGTGCTAACTGGAAAGAACTATCAGTAAT